GCATAAATATATATACTGTTGCGGCGTGCAGCCCGATCCATAGCATATCAAATACCCTCACAATGGGGTTCTCGACCTCTCTCAGTCAATATAGAATTGGCCTCTCGGGCACACTAAGATAAGACGGGGTTCTCAACCCACACGTTACTCTCATTAGGATTTAACAATTTCTAAAGCTGGTTCATATTATGTTTATCAGTTAAGAACATGACTGAGGGTATGATTTCGACAAGAAAAGTGAGGTCAACCAATACAAATGCCCCCTAAGGGTTCTACAGATCGGCACAAGGCCCCAAACAAGGCAACTAGCCCATAATATAATGATATTAATTAAGTCTCAGTCAAAAGTACAGTAGAGTCATCAAACGGGATGGACCGAGTCCAAATCCCCAGTAGTAACAGACCTCACGCTCATCATACAGCGTGTGTCTCATCTCAACATAGCACCACGTTGTGCAAATCCAAGGTTTCAAACCTTCAGAACATCATTTATAACCATTACTCACCTCAAGCAGGCCGAAATCCTAGCTCGCTACTCCCTTGCCTCGCAAATCAACCTCCTCGAGCGTCGAATCTGATCAAAACCACAAGTAATACGTTACAATAGGCTAAGGGAATACAACCCAATCGAAAAGACTCGAAAAATATCGAAAATCACGAAGTTGGCAAAACCCGAGCCCCGGTCTCACTTCTCGAAAAATCAGAAAATTCACATCACCCTATTCCTTATCTTGCCACGAGTCTATACATGTCAAATTTACCAATATTCGAGCTCAATTGCTCCCTCAAACCCCAAATTTATATTTCAAAAGTCAAGCCCTAATTCTTCCCTTTTTAATCAATTTTTCATGAATTTAGATGTTGAATCTACAATTAAATGATGTTTTTAGGTCATAAGACTCAACTCCAATCAATCCCAGTCGAAACCCTCTTTAATCCTCGTCCAAAAGCTCTCAAGGATGTTCAAAAATGGAGGAAAAATGGGTTGGGTTCGCGGATGAAATGTTTTAACATTCTGCCCAGATCATTGTAGCTCTTTCTATGCGATCGCATTAGAGCCCATGCGATCGCATAGCACAAATATTCTACCCCCAGATTTAGCCATATGTGATCGCATAGGCCTCTCTGCGATCGCATAGCACAAGGTCTTTACCTTGTGCGGTAGCATGCCTTCCACCGCGATCGCATAGCACAACCAAACAGCCCCTCGAATTCCTTCTATGTGATCGCATGACACCCTCTGCGATCGCATAGAACAAAAATACTCTGCAATTTTTCTGCTGCATTTTACAACTCCAAACTTCCCGTTAACCATCTGAAATCACCCCGAGGCCCCCGGGACCTCAACTAAAAGTGCCTACCCATCCTAAAACATCATTCAAACTTGTTCCAATTACCAAAACATCACAAATAACACCAAAACCATCAAATTACATCGGATTCAAGCCTAAATTTCTTAAAAACTTTCGAAATACGCATTTGATCAAAAACCCGACCAAAACACTTCCGAATGATCTGAATTTTTGCACACACATCCAAAATCATCTAAGGAAGCTACTGCAACTCTCGGAATTCCATTCCGACCCCCGTATCAAAATCTCACCTACCAACCGGAATTAACCAAAATACTAACTTCGCCAATTCAAGCCTAATTCCACTCCGGACCTCCAAAATCAATTCCGATCACACTCCTAAGCCACATGTCAACCCCCGAAGCTTACCAAATCACCGAAAATCACATCCGAGCCCTCTAACTTAATAGTCAACATCCGGTTGATTTTTCCAAAACAAGTCTCCCTTAAATAGACTAAGTGTCTCATTTCCTATCAAAACCAATCTGATTTAACTATAACACACCGAATACCGATAACGAAACATGAAGAAGCATAAAATGGGGAAAACGGGGCAATAACTCACGTGACGACGGGCCGGGTCGTCACAGTGGATTATTTAATTTGTGTGGCATTTTTAATTGAGGGGTCTTTTGTCACAGTGGACAACCGTTAGGGTTGAGAGTATTTTTGTCTATTTTCTTAACGGTAGGGACGTATTTGTATCGATAGTAAAACTAAGGATAAACGTGGATAATTTACTAAAGTAAAGGAACAAATCTGACCTTTTTTCCTTAATTGTACATAATTAAAGGCATTTTTGTTTTCTCTTTTTCTAATCGCCCCATAAGAATCAATTCTCATTTTCTACTTTAGAGTTACATTAGTGACGGTGATACTTTATCTATTTTCTTTTGCCAAAATGATTTAAACTTCAAATTGAATTTTACTTGATAAATCTTTTTAGAATTGCAGAATAAAATGGTTTTTATTTTGTTAGAACTGAGGAATGAGGTTTTCTTTAAAATTACCAACGTGAATTGGCAGAAAATTTAAGAGAAAGACCATATTAATTAAAGGGTACCTTTGCACGCTTTAATCTTTTATTTCTTTTTAGGAAAACGACTTTGAAATTGCCCTAAACTTAGCACGGTTTATTAGTTGATGCTTTAAATTAATCGTTGTCTTAATTACCTCTCGGACTTGGATATCCGATAATTGTTACCCCCTAGACGATCTCATCCCAGGGAAATGGCATGCACGCGCCTACCACATGAATTTTCTGTCCACATGGAATTTAATAATAAAGTATATTTTTAAACCTTTTTAAATGCATTAATTTTTTAGATCATCTTTTTTCAGATCAAATTTATGACAAAATTTGGCTAAAACTTCAATATTTAGATTGAATTTTTTACTTGGCTAAAACTAATGAAGTTTCAGTTAAACTTTTTAAAATTTAGCCTGAAAAAGAAGTGATACACATTTAAAATAAATATTAATTGCATATAAAAAGATATAAAATGAAATTCGCAATTTCATTAATTCGGCTAAGATTTTTATTTAGATATAAATTATGGAGTTCAAAGTAAGTAATTTTTAATACAAATTTTGCACCCAAAAAATACAACAGTTATAATAAATAGGCATTTGCATCTAAAGAAGAATTAAAAGAGTACACAATTGCAGATTTTTCCAAAAAAAAAAATTTACGGAGTCAAAACTTAAATGGTGGCACCAAATGANTATATATATATATAAATAATTCCAGCTTTTTGATTTTCCGTTTAATGATAACTCTTTAGTCATGTGACTATGTTTTTATTGAGTGCATGGTTATCGAAAACAGTTTTTCTATCTTTATAAAATAGGGGTAAAATTTGCATACACACTATTCTCCTTTCCACTTGTATAATTATACTGAGTTTGTTATGAACTCAACAAAACGATACCTTGATTAAACTTCCAAATAAACTGATTATAATAGAAATGCAAAGGATATAGTCATGAACTAAGGAAATAGCAGTAGAAAGAAAGGAGATGAGGAGATAGAGCCACAGAGAGAAATAGACGAGGAAGAGAGAGACCATGAGAGGGGAGTTTTCCAGATAACAATTCGCCTGACCGTATACTTGCACGGATTGGTAAATATAGTAACTATATTCCTTCTTGTTCAGTAATTCCTTGACACATGTACCTCTAACCTGGGTCCCAGTTGCAGCCCAATAACCTCTTGTTGGGCTGTTTCACATCCTGACTAGTGTGCAACCCACTCCCAGGCCCAAGTAGTTCATTTTGGTTTAACCCATTCATAACAATACTCATGTCCTCGAAAAGAACCTTGTCCTTAAGGTTCGAGTCTGGAATCGTACTAGTAGCATAGTCGCAACAAATTGTCGTCATACCGAAGTGTTCACAGTGGCCTAGGAAGAATATGTAGCCCAGTGTACTTGTTGCAGCAACAACAAGCCCGTCAACAATATCAATTAGGCTATGTTCAGCATCAAAACTCCATAAGACAAACAAGTTTTTGCCCAGCTCAATGACAGCAAAGGCATCAACTAGAACTTTAAACATATGTGCTACAAGCGTTCTGTACAATATGATCTCAAGTATAGTAATAGCAAATGATTCAGGTTCTTGATCCTTAAAGTCAATTGGATCATAAAATCTTTCTAGCAGCAATGCAACTATACTTTCTCCCGAGCTATTTCCACCTATGACGGCAACTATCTTTGTGAAGGTCACATTTTGGAATTTAGTGTTTCCATATGCAAGCAAATCAAGCTTCAATGATTTTAAAGCAAGCGGAGTAATCATCGAAGGATGAAAGCGCAAGCTCATATCAACAACGTTCATCCTTTTCTCCACATAACAAAGTACACCGCTAGGATAAATGAAATTTCCTTGTCTATTTACTCTTAGAACCTTATCGAATGCCTGGATGACCCCATACAAAAGTGCGGCAAGAAGTGTCATAATAAACTCTACAAAAGATGCCTTACTGGACTCCCATGTTGGTCTACCATGTAAGAATTTAATCTGATGCATCAATCTGATTCCATCCTTGATAAAAATGTAATTCCCTTCCCACAGTGGTTCAAACACTTCATGTTTAACCAAAAGCTCAGAACTATCCAATATAACATTTATGGGCAATTTTGCATTTGACATATGATATTGGGCCACCAGCTGCCTATTTTGCAATTCAAATGAAAAAAGAAAGCAGGAATAGACAAGAGTTTTAACAAGGAAAGAATCAATAGCAAACCAAGAGTGACTCATAGAGGAAACCACCAGGAAGGTTTTCAAGGCAGTCTTACTGAAATAGGACAAGAGCTCATTTAGCTTGGGACTAATACGAGATGTCCAAGAAAGTTCCAACATAACATAAACATACATAACTTCATCAGGAAAGATGCATAATAACCCTCTAAGATTTCTGGCCATCCCAAGCATCACATTCTCTGCAACAAAAAAGCCAATGCGACAAAGTAATAGCACCTCTGATAGCTGCATATGGTCAGAACTTACAGAGAAAAATGTACCTTTAGCGTTAGCCTCCTTAACACTGCACCAAATAGTAGAGACAGAGTATAGTGCATCGTAAAGACCATTGGCTGGGTATCGGTGCACCTCCATAGCACTCAACTGCTGACCCAACTTGTCTATGTCCATCCCAACACTTCCATGGAATATAGCTTGAAAGATGCAGGCAGATACTGTTGCAACAGATTTAATAAAAAATATAAGTGATCCTGTTAATAATGTTCCTCTTATTCTCATTAGTCTGTTCCATAATATTGATACCATAAGCATATCAGACGTCAAACTGTCCAACATATCACGACATATATATTTCTTTGTACCTACGAGGTATGTGGTAAGAAACCTTGAACCGGGATCAAAGGAAAATTCCAATACAAATTGATCAGTTGGAAATCGACGCAAGGATGTAGCACAATAACGTTCACTTAAGTAATCAAATATATCCCTGCTTATAGGTTGGTCATGACTGGAAGCGGTAAGCAAACATTGCAGTGCTAGTAGATCATCAAATATGATAAGGTGACTATAAGCATACTTAACTGCAGAAACTGGTTGAAACATTCATCGGACACCTGGGTTTCAGGATTTACTGAATTGCTCCTCATGGAATTTGTAACTTCCATGTCAATTTCCCTATCCGATATTTCAACGAACACCTTGCAGGCACATCTTCTTGAATTGTCCTCCTCGGAATTGTGCACAATGTTGGAGAGTCCTTTATCCAAATCAAAATCAATCTCTGGTTCTGCAATAAAAAAGGTTTTGAGAATTCCTCTGGTTCGTACTTATCGTGCAAAGACACAGCCAAGTCCGAGTGTCGTGGAGCGTCGGAGATCGTCTTGGAAGAGGCAGGCATCATGTTCTCTATATTGTCGAGCAGGTTGAGCATACGAGTGTTATTATCCATCATCGCCATCATCAGTCCCTGGATGGCGTCGAGATGATAATTGATAATAGTAGAAAAGTAGATAGCCATGGAGGATTGGAGTCCAAATTAATGAATGCACCAATGTTATGAACTCAACAAAACGATGCCTTGATTAAACTTCCAAATAAAATGATTACAATAGAAATGAAAAGGATATAGTCATGAACTAAGAAAATAGCAGTAGAAAGAAATGAGATGAGGAGACAGAGCCACAGAGAGAAATAGACGAGGAAGAGAGAGACCATGAGAGGGGAGTTTTCCAGAAAACAATTGCCTAATCGTATACTTGCACGAATTGGTAATTATAGTAACTATATTCCTTCTTGTCCAGTAATTCCTTGACACATGTACCTCTAACTTGGGTCCCAATTGCGACCCAATAACCTCTTGTTGGGATGTTTCACATCCTGACTAGTGTGCAACCCATTCCCAGGCCCAAGTACTTCATTTTGGTTTAGCCCATTCATAACAGAGTTTGTCATTGCTTAACTCTTTAGCTGTTAATCTAGTTTTTCCCTCTTACTTATATAGTGATAGAGTCTATTCGTTGTTGCAAATTTGAATATAGTCTGGCTGCAATGGCGATACTGAATACCGAATAGAAACCAAAAAATAGATTCATAGAGTCCGACTAAAGTATTGAAGAAGTCTTGGGGTCAATTTTTCATAACACGTGTTTCAAAGAAAACGTGTACCCTTTTTGTTTTTTGTTTTTTGTTTTCCAAAGCATCTCCTATAAGACTGATGACTCAAGAATTTTGCCCCAAGAAAACACACGCAGATGTTTTTGTTTTTGGAAAAGAAGTTTCTATAAATGTAATGACTTGTACTACTAATTTAATTTTAACCCACGGAGCAATTCAATTATTTCAATACTGAAATATACATCAATGCAGACATTTCAACCTTGCTAGACCATTCAAATTAAATGCCATATTTAATTTGTTTACTAACACTATCTCGGTCTTGAACTATTAGAGTGTTACAAATATTGGTATTCGCGGAAAAAGATTATACTAATATCGGAATGATTAGTCCATCCGAAAGAAAAAGAAATGTGAAATAAAATGGAAAAGGAATATATATATATAGTGATAATTTGATTCTTCGTCCTTAAATATGATAGAGAAACGTGTGTAATTCTTCTTTTTGACAAAAAACTTTACAAAAGATTGAATTTTTAGAGAATCACTTTTGGGGTAAAGTGCTACCAAAAAAAACTCAATTTTCAGGCATGAAATCAACAATCGACATCTCTAATTAAGAATGAAGAGTATTTATTATTCCACCACAACTTTTGAAAATCAAATGAGATCAACCAAGACTTTATCTTGATAAAGTCACTCTCATGTGGAAAATTTATAGCAATTCTTTACGCTTATATTTTCGTTCTTACTTTTTACATCATCTTACTAACCATATCTTCTACTACTTGTTTTTCAGAAAATGAAATCAAAACCAGTTCTTTAAAACTAATTCTTCACTGTATATTGTTATTGTATAGAAGTTAAACTTGTGTCTTTATACTTAGATTACTGTATACTGTTATTGTCATTCGTGCGTAGAAGTTGAACTTGTGTCTTCATACAGTAACTGTATACCTCCAGTGCATAAAAGTTAAATATATTACTCCGTCAATCACAATTTATGTTGGTGCACTTTCCTTTTTTGTGTGTCCCAAAAAAGTATATTACATTGTCTATATTTACAAATAATAAATTTTTATTTTATTTTAATAAATAATATTTCTTAAACTCTTTCCGTTCAAATAATGTCACATAAATTAACACGAAGGAAGTACTTTTTACACTGATTATTATATTTCCACACAACACAAAAGTCAAACTATATATTGTCAGTGCAAGAGGGAAGTGCACAATTAGCCACTAATTAGAGTTGTATTTATTCTTAAGCCACTATTTAAAATGTATTAACTCTTTAGCCAGTGCTTTAATAAATTTTTATCTGCCGGACGAAAATACCCTTGTTCTAGACATGATGTCCTTAACTTCATGAGTGTCGTGTAAATATTAAGGACACAGTGTCCTGAATTAGCACCTTCTATGTTATGCTTTAGGGCATCATGTCCTTAACTTCATATGTGCAGTGTAAATGTGAAGGACATGATGTCCTTAACTTCATGAGTGTTGTGTAAATATTAAGGACAAAGTGTCATGTATTTGCACCTTCTGTTGTTAAACTTTAGGACATCATGTCCTTAACGTCATGAGTGTTGTGTAAATATTAAGGACAAAGTGTCATGTATTTGCACCTTCTGTTGTTAAACTTTAGGACATCATGTCCTTAACGTCATGAGTGTTGTGTAAATATTAAGGAACAACACTCATGAAGTTAAGAACACTGTATCCTTAATATTTACACATCACTCATGAAAAAAGGATAAAACCGTCTTTTCATATTAATTTTGATGAAATAGTAACTATTTTTGCTCAGCATTAAAAATATCACGTTAAAAAATTGCTACCCCACGCCATTCTTGATATTTATACAAAGTGGACTATTCACAGATAAGGCCAAAGACTTCTCAAAAGTGTGAACGCAGTTTTAATGAGAACAATTGTCCAACCAAGTGTGAACATCTGCTGACGAAATTGTATGTGTAATTTCTTTCCAGAAACCAAATCTGTCTTTATTTATTATACTCCATTTATTATTAATAATAAAAAGGACAAAAATGGTTGTGTTTTTCGGTTTTTGTTGTTGGCCAGTTCATGTTACAGGTGTGCATATATTTCAAACCATGCAACCTAATTTTGTTTGAATAAAACCACTCCATTCCCAAAAAATACAAACAAAAAACCATATAAACACCTCTTTTTTTTTGCATTCAATTTCAACAACTACTACTCTTCCATCTTCCCAACTAAATGCTATTCTTATCCTAACTATGGAACTCAAACGTCTTTGCTTTGTTTTGCCTGCAGATACTGATGAAATTGACAAAATTGATCAAAAACAACAAGTTGTAGACAAACCAAAGAAAAAAAATGAATCTTTCTCTAAACGAAGTTGTGGGGGTCGAGTTCTTGATTTTTTTCAAGAAACTTTGTCGAAATTAGCTGATTCCAAATGGACAACTTGTTGTCATCAAGATTTTGAAAAAAACCAATTTTCTGGTGTTTTTCATGATACAGAAGGTATGCAACTAGGTGAAAAAGGTGGTGGCGATTATAATCATAATCATAATCATAATCCAAGGATTTTCAGCTATTCTGAGCTGTTTATAGGATCCAATGGATTTAGTGAAGATGAAGTTTTAGGAAGTGGTGGATTTGGGAAGGTTTTTAGAGCTGTTTTACCTAGTGATGGAACAGTTGTTGCTGTGAAATGTTTAGCTGAAAAAGGTGAGAAATTTGAGAAAACATTTGCTGCTGAATTAGTAGCCGTTGCTCATCTTCGCCATCGCAATCTTGTGAGGCTAAGAGGATGGTGTGTATATGATGATCAACTGTTTCTTGTGTATGATTATATGCCTAATAGAAGCCTTGATCGAATTTTGTTCCGAAAACAGGACAATACAGGGTCCCCTGTTCTTGATTGGGAGCGTCGAAAAAAGATAGTAAATGGTTTAGCAGCTGCATTGTTTTATCTGCATGAACAATTGGAGACTCAAATCATTCATAGAGATGTTAAGACAAGTAATGTGATGCTTGATTCCCATTTCAACGCGCGTCTTGGCGATTTTGGCTTAGCTAGGTGGCTCGAGCATGAACTCGAGTATCAAACGAGGACGCCTTCAATGAAAAACCAGCAGTTTAGATTGGCTGAGACAACAAGAATTGGTGGAACTATAGGCTACTTACCTCCTGAAAGTTTTCAGAAAAAAGGTTTTGCTACTGCAAAATCTGATGTTTTTAGCTTTGGGATTGTTGTTCTTGAGATTGTCTCGGGTAGGCGTGCTGTCGATCTCGCGTCCCCGGATGATCAAATCATTCTTCTTGATTATATCAGGAGACTATCTGATGACAAAATGGCTTTACAAGCTGGAGATAGTAGACTTGTTGATGGTTCTTATAAGCTTTCTGACATGGAGAGACTAATACATATTGGTCTTCTTTGTACATTACATGAACCTCAATCAAGGCCTAGTATGAAGTGGATTGTTGAAGCTCTTTCTGGTCATATTTATGGTAAATTGCCTGATCTTCCTTGTTTTAAGTCACACCCTCTTTATATCTCTTTGTCATCTCCAAGTAATAGTACAACTAGCAACACAATCACTACAAGGTCTACTGCTACAACCAGTAGCAGCACGACGCCCGGTTTCAACTCCACTGTCTTCGTTACAGCCACAGGAGAAACTATGTATCTAAGTGCTGAGAGTGGAAGCAGTCAAAATGAGTCTGGAAATAGTAGCAGCAGACGCCAGTCGAGTAATTTCTTGATGGTTGAAACTCCGAGGGAGATTGCATTTAAGGAAATTGTGGCTGCGACGAATAACTTTTCGGATTCAAGAAGAGTTGCTGAGATTGATTTTGGAACTGCTTACCATGGTTTCCTTGACAACAACCAGCATATCCTAGTGAAAAGGCTAGGAATGAAGACATGTCCTGCTTTAAGAGTGAGGTTCTCGAATGAGCTTCAGAATTTGGGACGACTACGCCACAGAAACCTTGTCCAACTCCGAGGATGGTGCACTGAGCAAGGTGAAATGCTTGTTGTATATGATTACTCCCAAAGTAGTCTTCTTAGTCACCTCCTTTTCCATCAGAATCCGAGGAACAACGCCTCCATCATAAGATGGCGTCATCGGTATAACATTGTTAAATCACTTGCCTCAGCGATTCGATATCTGCATGAGGAATGGGATGAACAGGTCATACATAGATGCATAACATCATCTGCCATCATTATTGATCCAGATATGAACCCAAGGCTTGGCTGTTTTGCTCTTGCTGAGTTCTTGACTCGGAATGAGAACAGCCATCATGTTGTTGTTGATAAAAAAACATCGGTTAGAGGAATATTCGGTTACATGTCACCGGAGCATATGGATTCTGGTGAAGCAACAACAATGGCTGATGTTTATAGCTTTGGTGTAGTGCTTCTTGAGGTGGTTAGTGGTCAGATGGCAGTAGATTTCCGCAGGCCTGAGGCTCTATTGGTTAATAGAGTACACGAATTCGAGGTCCAGAAAAGGCCATATGAACAACTGGCAGATTGGAGGTTGAATGGAAACTTTAACTCAAGGGAACTGGTGAGGCTAGTCAAATTAGGAATGGCTTGTACAAGGTCCAACCCCGAATCAAGACCGAGCATGAGGCAGATAGTGAACATTCTCGACGGACATGATAAATGTTTAATGGAAAATGGACGAAAGAAGGAGAGACCGGAAGAATGGAGAACAAGAAATGCTTCTGCTCTTTCCCTTGTAAGGAGAATTCAAGCTCTCGGTATACAATGATCACTCTCTTAGATGTGAAATAGTTTATATGTAGATAGATATGAACATTAGTCCTCCATTAAAAGATGTCATTAAGCTTTCTATCTTATTCCTTTTGTTCTTCTATTTATTCATGGAAGTCTACTAAAGCTATCAAGTTTTGAGTTGTGTGATTATGTTGCTTCAACAGAACATTGTGTAATTTAATGTCTGGCTACTTTGAATGCATTGTGTGAATTCGATCATGATTTTTTTTATTTTATACAATATCAGAATATTATTGGTTACTGTTATTGTTTTTCCATCTATTTTACAGCTCTTATGATACTGTTATTATATTTCTGGTTTCTGTTGCTGGTACCGATCTATTGTCTCTTTTTGTCTTTTTGAGCCGAGAGTCTATCGGAAACAACCTCTCTACTCCTTCGGGGTAGGGGTAAGGTCTGCGTACACACTACCCTCCCCAGACCCCACTTGTGGGATTTTTACTGGGTTGTTGTTGTTTGATACAATAGCAGAATATAACGTTAATATGAAAGCTTATTTGGCACCAACGAATAACGTTTACAGTGAACTATTGTATATGTACAGATACAAGTCTGACCTTGCTTCACATTCTTTCCTTGCTTGTCTTTGGCCTTGAGCACTCGGTCTACCTTTCAGTCGCGTGATTCTCATCGTCTGTGTTTACACCAACCCAATCAAGAAATGCGAAAAGAAATTGCCTGAAGCTGACCTTGCCACTCCTGTCCCAGTCCATTTCTTCTGCGATTATTAACCAGATCATCATGTTAGAAGTTATGACAGCAAGTTAATTTGATTTTAAACACTTTACAAGGTGAATGACAGTACTGAATCGAATCCGAGTGACATGAGAAGGGGATTTTTCGGAAGGACAATCGTCGTTTAATGCCTTGACGACTTCTTTCTTGTGCAGCTTCCCATCACCATTTTTATCAAGAAACAAGAATGCCTCAACTATTGTATTGAATGTTGCTTCTAGCTCTGGTGAGCCAATCTTCGACGTCTGAAATAAATATGATCCTAATGAATATAACTTCATATGATAAGTAAACAACAGCAGAGCCAGGATTTAGGGGTGTCAAAATTTAAAGAAGTAAATATATGAATAAGTGGGGGTTCAATACAGAGTATATATATGCATAAAAATAACTTCTACTTAATTTTTCGGCGAAGGGGTGTCAAATGACACCTGTTGGAGCTTTGTGGCTCCGCCACTGTTAATAAATATCTATTAAAATACTCAAAAAAAGAATAGAGAAGAGCACTTTTTTCACGTACATTGCGAGAGGAGGATGAATCCGTCAAGAGATAGATAAGACATAGAAGAACAATGAACTCATTGAATTGAATCCCTTCTTTTTCATCCACATCACACGAGTGAAAAAGATCATCAATTTCCTCCTCTTTAACATGAAATTGCAGCTTCTTTACGCATTTCTTTAGTTCTTCCCGGTCAATAGTCCCATTTGAATCTTCATCTAAGGAAATAGGACAAGATAGAAAAACCATAAATTCTTGTTAATAAAATGTAGTAAACACTCAAAAATCCATGCATATACAGAAGGTACTCACCGAACTGTTCAAAGACACCTTTTATCTCCTTCAACCCCTCTTTGAACTGAGGAAATTTCAAGATTATGCTATTGATTGACCTGAAATTGGTTTGCACTGATGAACTTCTTTTAAGCTCCATCATTTTTGCTTCAAGCTTAGCATCCAATCTTCTGTACTTGTTTGGTGCATTCCAAAAACACAGTATATTTCCAACCTTGTTGGACAATAACTTGAGTACTGGACATGACTGAGCTGAGCCTAATACAAAGAAAGAGTTCTAGTTAAAGACCAATCAGCTTTTCGGTTGTTTTGTTCGATATCCTAAACAACGATACTTAGCTGTAAGTACAGTACAAGGCAGACAATTCGTCACAATCCCAATTTCAGATATCAAAATAGGCCACATTAGCAAAATTGTATGCTACAAAGTTCTTTTCACAATCTTAAGATATTAGCATTACAAATCACACAATAAATTTACCCCCAAAAAGAAATTATTACAGAAGAAAAGGTGAAAAGGGAAAAGACAGATTATTAATTCTGACAAGAACCAAGAAGCATACCTACTGAATCTTTCATTTCTTTGATGATGAAAAAGAGCTCAAGAAATCAAAAGGGTCTGCTGCTGATTCCTTTAACATGGAGCAGATTCTATAAATATATACAGGTAAGAGTATAAAAGGGGAATAGAAAAGGGGTGAAGTGGAGAGGTGGCAACGAGGAAAAGAGTATTAGAAAAGTAAAGTAGAAATCCCATTATGCTTTTTTCAATAGAATGGAACTTTCTTTCCTTCTTTCTTTCTCTTCCACTAGCAGAAAATACCATCATTGCTTTGACTATAAGCTTCCATTCTATTCCCCTCCTATACATTTTCCAGTGTAAGAGAAGGAGGGAAGGAAGGCGCGCTACGACTAACATAACAGCCAGCTGAAAAACATTAACTATAGCTAGGCTAGCGCGCAATGGCTTTCTCTTACAGGGGTACAACTGAATCCGTTGTTTAGTTATTACATAAAAAAATATTGCCACTGCTTCTTTTCATTTGTTTTTAGCCTTGGGTCCATAGGAAACAACCTATGTGCTCTCCCAATGTATACACTACCCTTCGTTGTTGTTCTTGTTGTTGTTGGTATGACCATGCAGCAAAAAATTCATCTATTAATTAACCTCAATCAAGAATAAGTTGAATTGTTGAGTAAAACTTTAGACAAACTTGTTTTTTACTCTACTTCAAGATAGACATTATGCTTCTGTATGCATTAGTTTTCCTTCTTCTTGTGTTGGTTAAAATTTTTTGGCGTTTCGGTAATATAGGGAAGAAAAAGTTCAACTAAAAAGTGATAGTCTCCAAAAAAGAAAAATAGTAGAGAAGAAGGAGAGGGTCACGCGTAATCTCAACTAAAAACGTTATTTGCCTTTGTTTTTACACCAATCCAATGAATGCATATCATGCGACATACTGTTATGTTGATTAATGCATTACTAAGTTTCATCAACCATTTCCAGCATATCATATTCCATGATCCAAATGTCCAATTCGATATCATTTCCTTTGCCACCATATAAACTAAGGCAACCTTTTAAAGTAGACAAACGAAACAACTCATTTTCACCTACAAAATCCGGTGTTGGAAGCTCCTTCAATTTAGTTATTGATCAAGGTTTTTATCTAGAGCCCAATATACACAAACTTGAGTGCTAATACCCTGACTGCATTGCTAGGACAATAGCGCAGGGTTCGAAATTCAATGGCTTATTGGCCCGACCCTCTACCCTTCTGTTCTGACTAAGCAGATTACGGAATTAAATATCTCAAGATTGCTCATCAATAACTGATGAATGTGACAAATTTGATATCACAAGTGTCTTCAATTATTTCCAATAGAGTGATTTGCTTCTTCTTGTACATGACTGTTGTTTCTAAGAAAGCATAAGGTATCCAAACATGTTGGATCTACAGGACGCTCCACTTACCATGTGACAACCGAGTGCATAAGCTGTTGTAACATGTTGTCGGTTTACGCCGGGATTATTATCATTATCCCATAACCAAACGACCTATTACATTACCAATTCCAAGCACGGATAAAGAAAGAAGATTGTGATAGGTAACCAAGGTTAAACTAGTCAATTTGCGATGAATCCGCATGAAAAATGTTTACGCCCCCCACTTGTTGCGCCTGTGTGCACTTGCTCACATTGCAAATCACAAGCACAAATAAAAGAAGAGGGTTGCCATAGGTTAACAACAAATGTAAAACTAGTCAATTTGAGATGAAACAGCACAAAGCAGAATACATAATACGCCCCAACTTGTTTGGAACTGAGACGTAATTGTTGTAGCAGAAGAAGAGACAGTAAACCTTCATTTGCAACATTGTGAAATGCCCACAAGCAGGAATGCACTAAAATGTATCAGAAAACAGTAGTGATTAGAGTTCAACTATGCTGTTAGTACACAAGGATCTTCATTTCTGATAAAGGGTACTTAAAAGGTGATGAAATGCAGGGTAAGGTTGCGTACAATAGACCCTTGTGGTCCGGCGCTTCCCCGACCTCGCGCATAGCAGGAGCGTAGTGCACCGGGTACTTAAAAGGTGATATAACTTAGATAACATACATTTGCAACATTGTTTAATCTTGGATCAAACAGATGTAGAAAGGGGGAAACATCACAGAAAATGTGGTAAAAAATACACTGATTTGTTTCCAGAGAGAATTTTGTTCATGTATTACTCATCATCCATTCCACCTGCCTTGTATTGCTTTCGATAGGTGATCCATTCACGTTAGTAAAAGCCTGCGGTCTCTTCTTTAGATCACCGATTCCATTTGATGGGAAGCAGTCATCAAGCAAGCAGTCGCCAAGTCTGGCTGGCACGTGACAAGCATTTTTGTCTTCGATACTTGGAGCAATATCATGTAACGAAGGGACATTAACGATCCCTTCACAATCGTTTGCAACCTTCATTGCTAATTCAGAAAGTTCTTCCCTGTTCACTTCTAGGCCATTCGGTTCGATGGACTGGCTACTAAAAGCTTTACAAGCTTTTTCAAGAATTGATTGCAAATATTTTCCTTGTGCTTCAATACGAAGCTGTAGACGGCGCTGTACCTACTTTGGTAAATCACAAAGATTTTTGTTAGAAAATAAAGAATGTGACACTAAGTTACTGATGTATAACAACTTGATAAGAAGCTGATGTTGCATTTTGTCCGAGCAAAGAAAGCATGCTGCAATTACACATACGACACAGGAGAAACAACCAAAGTCATTGACAGTGATAAAACAACGACGACCAGCAGCAGAACTTCAACCAAGAACCTTTGATAAGACTAAAGTTGCAGTTGGTCCGAGTTGAAGAAGCAAGTTAGCCCTAGTACATACTACACTAGAAATGGCCAAAAGTTACTGACCTCAACCTGGTCTGGAAACTACCATTAGCTACTTATCAATGTATTCGCTTATTAGAGCAACCTACTCTCCTATTGCTCACCACTCTAACCCGTTATAGAGAAGAAAACAAAAAAGATACAAAAGGGAATATCATACAAGAAGCACATAGTGCAAACAACAACAACCCAGTATGATCCCACACGTGGGGTCTGGGGAGGGTAGTGTATACGCATACCTTACCCCTACCCTAGTGAGGTAGAGAGGTTGTTTCTGATAGACCCTCAGCTCAAGAAGACGAAAAGGGACAATAGATCAGTACCAGCAACAGAGGCCAGCTGACTAAAAAAGATATTCAAGATTACGTCTAATGCGAGCACATTTTCTCAACGAATTCAAGATTTGGATTATGAATGAAAATGGACTACAGGAAATCAGATTCATCCAACAAATGGACTGCAGCATAGGAAGCTGAGACGCTGAGTACACTAACACTATCAGTTGAGCAAGAAGAGGGGTGTAACAAACCTCTAGCTGCTCATGTAGTCTTCGCTGGACTTCCATCTGTACTCGCAAAGCCTCAGTTACTTGGAAACCGCTGTTGAATAAATTTAAGAGAGTTCAAATTTGACGCAAAGCAGACAGAACCATTTTTACCAGAAAATTTCTAAAAGACATAACATACTCATTTATATCTTGCGCAATAACTCTTGATGAACCTGATGTAGAGGAACCTGTATCTTGACTCTCTGCTGGACATGACACTGCAAACACAAGACAGTAACGATAAAGGGATTGCGGTTTCAAGTTTTCCAAAGGACTGAGAAGCACAACCATTTCAGCCTTTTTTGCTTCAACGAATTATTCTTCTCTTTCTTTATATTACAAACAATTCTATCATTTATATACTCCCTTCAGAGGTGTTATCCACATTCAGTACATACTTTTATTCGATGAAATCAGTCATCTAAAATTACAAAGTATGTATCAACAAATGAAAAAAGTGCAACCTCCTTGTTGTAATAAGGTGATTTTGGTTAAGGAGTTGG